CAAGCTGTGAGTTAGCCATGATCATATTTCGCAACAGCGGTCACGGAGAAATATGGGATAAGAGTTTTAAAAAGAATTTAAAAAAAGGAATATTCACAATATGCTTTGGGATAGTTAAGTGCTAGAAAATTCTTTTAAAAATGCCTTATCTTACTTCTATGGTGTATTCCTTGCTGTGTTTACGCGCAATTTTCTGATTCGTGACGGTTTTAGGGAGATATCGGGATGGAAGAACTTTATAGGAAGCGGAACAACCGTTTCAAATAATTAAGCAAGGAAACAAAAAAGGGTAATACCAAAGAAAGGCAAATAAGTCAATGATACTAAGAATTTTCTGGATAACTCATCGAGATAAACAGGCCGATAGAAACACTTGCATTTTTTTAAAAACGCCTTGGTGTTCCTGGCTATTTGACAGCTTGACAACTCGATATTAATTTTATGAAATTTATAAAACAGGACATGGAAATTATGTTCAGTCTGGAATGTGGGGAACTGTTTCCAGTCTCTCACCGGGCTGCGCTTGCTTATCCCAGAAGTAAAATTATTAAAAACTCAGGAGACATTTAACATACAGGAACCAGAGAGCTTAAGATTAACACTACAAGAAATAATGCCGAGCTACGAATAATAGTAAAATTTGTGGGCCAGTCAAATTAACGTTGTCGGTAATACGTCATTACTAAACTGTCCAAAGTGTCAGTAAACATCATTAATGTTGGTCCATTGTGTATTTCAAATTAGGTTACAGATGTGGATATCACTACGATTCAGCAGCCTTTCTCTTCTCATTGGTTAACAAGCCTGGTTGGCAGCCATTAAAGCTAGATCAAACAGGACAGTATAGTTATTATAGAAGCTATTCCATCTACAGCTGTTCTTCCTATGGACCAACATTTGGAGGAGGATACGATATTTACATTAGCAGCAACGCTGCATCAAGTACCAACTCACACGCTTCAGGCCTTGGACACACCTACAGCCCGCCACCTGGCAACAGCTATAGAACCTCCTTCACACGATCATTCCTGGCGGGTAGTCCCTACTACCGTCCTGACGAAGTCGAAGTCTTCTATGAAACTACCTGAAGAAATCTCGGAGTCTTAGTTTTACGCACCCTGTACAGAACAATTAAACCTTTGTAATTATATAAGGGTATATAAAAACTGTTGGTAAATTATGACGCAATATAATCAGAAAATTTCAATATCACCGATGATGTGTCAATCAATAGGTTAGTACAAAATC